GAGAGAGAGAGAGAGAGAGAGAGAGAGAGAGAGAGAGAGAGAGAGAGAGAGAGAGAGAGAGAGAGAGAGAGAGAGAGAGAGAGAGAGAGAGAGAGAGAGACTATTTGCGTGTCTTATTACATATGTCCTCCGGGGCGAAGCCCGGGTAACCAGCTAGTATATATATATACTTATGGTGCGAAATGAGGTCTATTATTGTACGGTTCCACACGGGTTTCTAACTACGTGAAACGAGGTGCTTACAGTGCGAAAAATGTAGAAAAATGAGTTTTTTATTATTCTTGTTTTTTTTTTTTGTCAACGCTGTACATACAGTTCTAATACACTAATAAGATAAAACATTTCAGCAAAATATTTTTAAATTCTAATTATTTTTTATATCAAAATCTTGAAAAACGTTAATTAGTCTGAATAATGAATTTCTCGGAAACTAGGCATTTCCGCAACTTCGCACTAGTGGTTCCGACTACATTTAGTAAGTATACTACATATACCTGTAAATTTCATCAAAATCGGAAAAGCGAGTCTCTTAAAATCTTACCAATTATATAGACGATATTTTAAGTTTAATTTTTGTAACATTTAATCTCAAGTAGGCAATATGCTATAAGCATTACTATTTTGTGGAAAATAGATCGAATATATCATAATCAATTAGCAAGTTTATTTTTTTAATATTTTTCTTATCGGTTACAATTTGTATGTTCTCAATAAAGACATAATTGTATTGACAGCTATCGCTTAACATGTGCGTTCGACACATGCTCATCGAAAACGACACCCTCAAAAACTAAATGCAGACTTTGCACTAAGTTGTTAAGTGCTTTTAGCACTCATCAACATTGTTTAGAGTAAGTACTTGACATACTTTGAAATACTTATAATTGTTTTGCATTGAGGCTAAAATAAAAAATTTTAATAACATTTTATAAGCGTAACAAGATCGTATATGTATTCGTTGCATCTAATATTGCATATTATATTATAATATTGCACATTATCGTTATAAAGCATAATTTTTTATTTACTTGTAACGTACATTATTGCCTTAACTTTTCAAGATTCATCGAGAATATGCAACATAAATTTTCGACATCTTATTTTGTTCTATTTGTGTTTGGTGTGGGTTCGGCGAGTGTTAATATGTTTCGTGTGAGTAACACTTTTAAAATAGCATCAAAGATAAATATCATAAATGGTCTGACAATATTATATTTATTGATGATAGTTATTTGAGGCAGTCACGATGCTTAATATATTCGAAGCTATTGCAACCGGTTTATTTGTATACGCTCATATGGCATATGGTTTTTTTATGAACTATTTTGGGCAGGATATAATTGACCATAGCGAGTATTTTTTTCAACAAATGTGAGTGCATTTTAATAAATAACATGATAATTTTTACTTTACAAAAAAGTATTTTATGTATTACACAATATCCTACCTGCAGTAAATAATTTTAAATCTTTCAAACAATTTATATATATATATATATATATATATATATATATATATATATATATATTAATATATAGTTATAGCACACAATGGTACAGAGCACCGCTATACGCCCAGAAATTATTACTCATGACATTACGACAAAGCACGAAGAACAGCAAGATAATCGTTGGCGGCTTATTTGTTATGTCGTTAGAAGGTTTAGCCACGGTAATATTACGTACATATTATATAGAAGATATATACATACGTATATTTTATCATACTACGTACCTATATATTATCAAGAAATGTATTTTGTATTTTGAAGTAACTTCTTCTTTTTTTATAAGATTTATCTTCTATTCCATTGTTTTCATAATTATACTATTTATTAGGAACAAAGTATAATTTTTTAGATAAAAGTATAGCATTATATAGGGTGTCACCTAATTCACGTCTACTATTTACAGCGATATTCCTTATCAAAAATTGAGTCGAAAAGTCCTGAGCCATTTCTTTCTATAATGTTTAATAAAGCAGTAATTATTGAATAAAGTCAATCCAATCAGCACTGTCTTTTAGCCGGGCGTATAAGTCATGCTACGCGCGTACGTGCTCTGACGTACGGCCGGCTTAGGGCGGCACTGAGTGGATTAACTTTACTCAATAATTAAGCGTTATAGAAAAAAATGGCTCAGGACTTTTCGACTCAATTTTTGATAAGGAATATCGCTGTAAATAGTGGACGAATTAGGTGACACCCTGTATATATAGTAATGAAATTTAAAAGTACGAAAGTGTTACTACACAAAAGTCGGAAGCACATATATAGAAAAATTTTAAGAAAGCATAATATTATGAAATAAAACATAAGGAAAAGAAATTAGTAATATGAAAGAAATTTCTTGTTTCAGCTTGTTAGTATGTCATTGTCTTATTGTATGGTTATGTACTCGGTTCGTAAATAATTATGCAATATATATACAGCAGTAATATGCAATCGTCACAAAATCGTCTGATGAATAACATTACTAATAACAAACCAAAGGATTGGATTACGTAATTACAAAAATAAAAATGTATCACAATGTAATTACTCCATGGTTTTTATTACAGTACAAAAATTCCTTTGGAAAAACAATTAGTAGTTTGAACACTATAATTTTCAAATTATGCAATTTTATATATAAATATCTATACTACACATTATCATCTCTTTATCTGCACATTTTTAATTTATATTTTCTTTTTATTTTATGCTATATTTATACGTATATATTCAGTATATATTTAACGGTTTTATTATTGCATCGAGGGAGGATTTTATATTTCAGTAACAGTTTTAGAATTGTATTACAATAAAAAGGCGACAGTAAAAAGAACTATTTTGTTAAATTATTTAGATTGTATCATTGTCTTACTTTGCAATGTTGTACTTACTCTAAACGTAATTAATAATAAAATAACAAAGAATTTCTGATGTTGATAGCGACGACATCACTCGAGTCACACTGTTCATTGTGAATTGATGTAAATTTTAGCTTACTATAATTTTGATTATGTGCATGGTATTAAATTGTAATCGGGACACAGGATCTTATTCTGTTATCTAATTAAGAGAGAGACGTAGCAACTGTTAACAATAATTGTTAATATTAACAAAAAATCTTAAATTCTATCTTAAATTGCAATACAAATATTTTTTAAATTAATAAACCAATTATTTTTATAAGAATTGACGTGAAAAATATTTGGACTATTATTATTTTGTAACGAAAAACTCAATGGAACAAGACATAGCATATACAATATTTTTACTACCACACGAGTCCAAAGAAGGAATTACAAAAGTGTATAAAATAAACTAATGAAATATCATATTTTGTGTTATGCACTCTCTTGTGTCTATTACAAATATTGAAAATATTTATAGTGGCTTTACAAAAGAAGGGTGGATGCGATCTAAGCAATTTTATATAATTCATGTTCCTTACTACTATTTCACGGTATAAGCGCCATCCTAATCGTCACAGTTATTTCACCCCTTGACTTGTATAAGTAATTCCCCTATCTTTTTGTCGCGCTGCAATAATGTCATGCATAATAAAACAGCTGTAATTATCTTTCTTTTCCCTCTTGGTTGCCGCTGAAAATATGCTCTCAGTTGTCTCACAGAAATGGACTTCGATGGTGGTCGGTATTATACACTTAATCGGGTGATGTTATCCACTATCGGGCTATGGCCGTATCAAAATGCGTGGCATGTCCAAATTCAAAGAATTTCTTGTTTACTTTATTTTGTATCTCTCATAATAATTCAGGTATCATCAAATATTATTATTGATAAATAGATAAGGATAACTACAACTATATAATAGCCATATTATATTTTAATTTTGCTTTCTATTATCTATAATGTAAGATTATATTTTATATCGAGCAACTTTCAGTTATTTACATTTGTCACATATAAATACAATTTGGATCATCTTCTTGAAATTTTATCATGTACGATTCCTTGTTTCATTGTCATCTTGAAATATGTTACATATTGCGTAAAAATGAAATCGGTAAGTCACACTCACCACGATATTAGTCGACATATTATTTTTAAAACTGTACTTGAATTTATCTATAAATTTATCTCAAATTTTTAAAAAACTATAGAATAGAAAGATTACAATAAACATTACAATAAAATTTTTTTAATTTACTTTAAATAAATTTGTCTCTGATAACTGTTAACAAATAGTCAATTTATTATATATAACATAATTAAATTATCATGAGAGGATTTCCATTAATATATTTTGAAATAAATCAATTGTATATTCTTTAAAAAGATCGCGGTATAATGCTTAAAATAAATAAATACGGTAATTTAAGAGCTAAGCATTATGTTATAAATATAAAAGTAACGTATATTGTGCGCAATTGTAGATAAAAAAGATAATGAAAACGATCAAGTACGATTGGAATACATTAAAAAATGAAATGGAATATGAAATAATTAAGAAATATACTTATATTGGAGCATTTTACGCACTACTATTTGCACGTAAGATTGGTGAAACTTTATTATGCTACATCACAAGTGTGTGAAATATATTAATATTATATAAATAATATTTTAAACTTATAAAGCAATTAAATTTCCAAAGGTTGTATAGTTTTTATCATAATTTTTTACGAATATAAAGTTAATTATCTCAGAAATTAACTAATTTAATTAATTAAAATTAAAGAAAATTTTTTGTTTCTCACTATATGTGCTAAGAACGATTTGTTTAATCATCTCAATCGTTACTTGCATTATTGACTTTGAATTTATGTTCAAGTTTTTAACTTTTTATCTTCATGCAATATAATCAATATTAATCTCGTGTTAATAATTACAGTAATGACGTATAGCATTCCGATATTCTTCGTTTGTGTACATTTTATACCAAATCTTCTTGATCTTGTGGCGCCGTTTAACCAGTCCCGTCCACGTCACCTGCTGATTTTAGTGGAATACTTCGTTGACAGCGATGAATACTTTTATCCTATTCTACTACATTTATTCGTGGGCTTTTTTATTCTTCAAATTACACTAATGTCTACCACATCTATATACGTAGCATTCATACAGCATGCATGTGGAATGTTTGAAATAGCTAGGTAAAAAAATGATATGTAACGAATTAATATAGACATTCTAAGATATACCTACACATTTTTTAAATATATCTTACAAGTAACACTACCCAAGTGTCACACGCCGATTTTTTTGAAACTGTGCACACGTGTGGAACTTCGAAAAATATTTGTGTTGTATTTTTTTATTTTTGGCTTATAAAGCGTTTTAATAGTAGATTACATTTTGTAATCTGTAGTCATTGTGTTGAATGATGTAATTCTTCTTTTTGTCAAGATAATTTTATTCTTTCAGCTACCGTATTGAACATGTTCTGGACGATCATAAAAGAGGCAACTCAGTTTCTGAAAGACGTTGCGTAGCTTGCGCTAGAATAATCAGTGCCGTCGACATTCACAGACGAGCTATCGAGTCGGTAGTTTCTCATCGCATTATTCAGGATTTAAATATCGTTTATACGTTTTTTCAAACTTAAGCTTGTGTGATTTTCGTGATATGTTCATCCTACGATGTATTCATCTATTCTGTTTCGAAACTGGTTAAACAGTGTAATAACCTCGTAATATCCTTGAGTGATCCACATAATGCTTTTTTCTTATTGTTAAAGGTTTTTCGAATTCATGAAGAATACTTTTGTAACAATGTATTTTTTCCTACTTTTGCTTGGCATAGCATCTTTAACTGTTAGTCTGTGTCGCGTGAGTAAGATATTGCGCATTTGATAATTTCTATTAACGGAATAAAAATTATAAAAACATATATATATTAAAAGCTTTATTTTTTTCGGTACAAATATAAATATATAGTTGGCAAAGCATTTTTTCCTGTGCAGAAATTTTAGATTTTTTTAAATTTTTTAGGCTGTAACTGCAAAGGGAATTATTGAAAATATTATTCCCATAACAAATGTATTTATTCACTTATTTTATTTCTTTTTTGTCAATTATTCGGGACAAAAAGTGTTGAATCATAGCAATGATTTTTTATCAAGAATGTAAGTTGTTGAAGATCGATATTTATTGAACACATTATTTGAATTATTTTATAATTATTTTTGCACTGTGCACGAAAGTGCTACAATTTTCGTTTATATAAGACTGCGCACAAAAGTTTTTATTATAAATTACAATATTATAAAGTTTTTATAATAAAAATTAGTCGTACTATCATAGCTATTAATATGCAAAACTGTTCTTAACATAAACAAAGGTATAATATAATTATTTGCAAATCCGTAAGTATGCAAAATATATTTTTTTTTATTTAATAATATTTTTTTTATTTGATTTGTGTATACAATAAAAATATATTCACATTGCTGTATAATTATAACTATCAAATTTTTTCAAAAAAATTAAAATTTTAATGTATGTATGTATATGTATTAAAATTTTAATTTTACTATATTTTTAATAATACCATGTTAAGGGGGTTGTCTGGTCAAGAGGCTGTTTTTTAGGGGGGAATTTTTTGTAAGGAATTATATAAGAATATATTTTTTTGAAACTTTTACATCATATTTATTGATATTTGAAGAGTATTTAGAAATTTTTTTAAGTTGATATATGGCCAAGAATCCGCTGTAGAGTGCCCCGACGACAGCTGTGTAAAAAAAACGGTACCCACGATTCCGGATCTCCAGTTCATTCTAAAAAAAAAAATTTTTTTTAATCTGTGGATGTGTGGCTATCGTGTGAACTAGAAC